TGCCCTGGATTAGAAATTTATCTTGAGTTGGGTGTGAAGCCACTGTGCCCGGCTTTCATGGGATTAAAGTGGCCATACAGGATAGGTGAATTGGAGATGAGTGAAACTGAAAACCAAAGTACAGCTTGTGAGGGATGCCTGGTGGCTCAGTTGGTTACCTTCAGCCTAGGTCATGATCCCAGGGTACTGGGGTCAAGTCCTGCATTGGGCTTCAGCAGGGAGCCTGCTTTTCCCTCTGCCTCCTGCTCCCCCTGCTTGTGTTCTCTCTCTGACAAATAAATAAATAAAAATCTGAAAAAAAATAATAAAGTACAGCTTGTGAAATTATTGCAGCTAATTCAAACAGGTATGGAGAATATGGTCAGTGAAAACAAAAGGAGAACATTATTAGGGGAAGTGCAGAAATTGGAATTGATTAGGTATAGGGGTGGAGTGGGGATCAAGGAAAAGAAGTAGGAAAAACGTTCCTGTGAGTAATTGGTGATGACGCATCAAAATTTCAAAATCCAGGTGTTGTCATATAAATTTAAGCAGAAAATTACTTTTGTAGCGTTATCCAACTCCTGTTTTTCACCCGTCATATCATAAATCCCTGATGGAATTAGGGATCTATCTGAATTGTACAACTACTCTGGCCCCAGGTTCTCCTGTCTATTCTTTGGGTTTTAAAGTAAGAATCTGTTCCTTCAATGTGTTGATTTTCCTGTGAAACCTTAAAATTAGGCTGATGTTTTTATGTTCCTAGCATAGTTGGATTAAGTAAATTGAGTTAATACTTTTACTTCTTTCATAACTGTCTTCAAGATTTATATTGTGAGAGATGCTTGAATATATACCATGAAAATAGTAATACATGAGAATCTTAACAATGCTTTCAGATTACCTTAGTGGTTTCCTAATATTATCCAATTAAATCCTTCTGCTTTAACTCTGCTTAGATCAGCTTGATATTATGGCCTCCAGGGATTTAGCAGTAAAGAAATACATTCCAACTAAGAAGTTTAAGTAAACTAGCAAACTGAGACGCTAGAGCTTAAACCCAGGCTTTCTCACTCCCAATCATAAATAGCTTCTAGTTGCAGGACAAGATGTAAATTTTTCCCTTTAGCAGGATACAATTCAGAGCTGAACAAAAGCTTAATGATCAATTATCCCATGAATTGGCAATGTTTTCTGGAAAGGATATACAGTAAATACTTTTGGCTTTGCAGGTGATATAGTTTGTTTCAAATGTTCAATTCTATTGTATTGCAAAAGTAATCATAGGCAATATGTAAAGGAATGGGTCCAAGAAGCCTTTTTTTACAAGAACTAGCTGAAGGCTGGATTTGACCCATAGAATATAGTTTACTGATCTTCTCACTTCTAGTCTTATTCCTGAGAAGAAAACTTAGTCTCCCTAGATTGTTAGGTTTGTCCAAGCTTCTTTTGGCTGGAACCCAGAAATCTATTTTATTTTACAGCTTTTGATTCTAATATTTCTTTTTAAAGAGCCATTTAATAATATCAGTCTAATTGAAGATTTCTGTCTTCCCCATCCTCTGCACTGTAAGACCAATTCTAATTGGTCTTTCTGTGGTGCTCATGGAATTAGTTTAGGTAGTAATGTCTTAATTGTGCTGCCAATAGTTTTTTTTTATTATATTTTCAATGGAGATTTGCAGGCATCCAGTCCCTTGACTGTTGGTCTGTCTTTCTTCCAGATTCTGCACTCTGTGGCACTCTACAGTACTGTGTAACAAAGCTTTAATAAGCGTACTTCACAGCAATTGTATCAATTTAACTTTGCAGAATAGCAACTAAGACTCATAACCGATCAAGGAAATCCTAGAATTGTTCCTTGTATCTCTTTCAATCTCATGTTCCAATGGAGCCATGATTAATTTTACATTGATAATGGTAAATTGATACCTACCATAAGAAATAAATATTTATATAACTGTGCTAGTTAGCTTTTATTTCACCTATCTTTAAAAAAAAGATGCAACATATTTACACAAAATAGCATAATTTAAGACAACCAAATATTTTCCAAGTGCTTTTGATTTGTAATTCAAGTTGATTCTGCTAGCAACCTTAGTCAAAGGCCAGCATTTTACTTCTGTGTCAGAGCCCTAAGATTCGATTTTAGAAAACCTATCTTTATTACATTTTCTGCTTCTAAAGGACTCTGTGTTTTATATTAAAGTAGGCTAGTTTTGTTCCTCCACGGTGCCTGGCATTTAAAATAGAAGATTAAAAACAAGATAGGAAACTTTTCTGTTTAGAGTTATCCCCCTTCCAACTGTGTGTGTGTGTGTGTGTGTGTGTGTGTGTGTGTGTGTTCCAAACTTCAAATATTAACCACTTGTTAGCAATCCAACCACACTGTTTTAATTTTAAATATAATTTGATGATATATATACTTCTAATTTAGCTGATTTCTTTCCCTCATAAAAGAGGAAGTGAAACTATTTGCACATGACCATAAAACTCACCTTTAAATCTGAGAGGGAAGCCACAAAATGAGGCTTGGGTCTACCGTTTGTGTCTAAATTCCAGTTTTGCCATCTCTGTTGTAATAACTGAGTTCTTATATGATTATACAGATTTGAATCCCTGGTGGTTGCTAAAAGAGAATACAAATGCAGAATGAAACCTAGGATCAGACGGTGGTAGTCTTCCTCATTTTATCAGGCTTAAAGTTAATAATACAAAGCTAAAGAGGAAAACCAGAAATTATTTTCCAATGATGTTGTAAGAACAACCCAATATTGCATTGGTATTCAGAGATGGAGGAGAAAACATATTGGGAACTTAAGAAAAATTGTTTAGAATCTATACATTTTAAAAATGAAGTGTTGAGGATTACTGCAAATGGAAGGGGAAAAAATTAGGTATTGTGGAAATTTTTGTAAACATTTTTGAGAGTATCTGGAATGATAAAATTATGTGAAGGAAAAGAAAAAACAAAGGAAAAAGAAACTATAAATAAGGTAGACAGAAATAGATGAACAATTTAATCTTTTTTATGATTTATTTATTTATTTGAGAGAGAGAGGAAGAGAGAGAAGGAGCAGGAGTGGGAACAGCAGAGGGAGAGGAAGAGATATCTCTAGCAGGAACACCCAGTTGGGAGCCTGATGCAGGGCTCAATCTCAAGAACCTGAGATCGTGATCTGAGTCAAAACCAAGAGTCAGAAACTCAACTGACAGCACCACCCAGGTGCCCCAGCAATTTTATGAAACAAAACCAAGTTATGCTACACAGATTGTATTACATTAAAAAGCAAAACAAAACAGTGTGCCTCTATTTATTTTAACACCCTTGGTAGATTTCATCGCTTTGGAATCAAGAAAGTACATGTTTAAAGAGACTGAAAAAGGTTGATTTTAATGGCGAAATGTTAATGGCATTATAAGGCATAGCTGACTATCATTATAGTTTGATAAAGTCTTAGTTTAAATCTCTATAAAATAATAATTTTTTAAGTATTTTACTTATTTATTTGACAGAGAGAGACACAGCGAAAGAGGAAAGACAAGCAGGGGAGTGGGAGAGGGAGAAGCAAGCTCCCTGTTGAGCAGGGAGCCCGACGTGAGGCTCGATCTCAGGACCTTGGGACTGAGCCACCAAAGTGCCCCTAAAGTAATTATTTACATGGGCAATTATAACCAGCTTCGGTGTACAGTTCCATCGATGACTAATGTTGTTTCTGAGATGCAAGACACCAGAAGGAATATTTATTGTTATGCTATATCTTCATTCTCATAAAAAGTAAACTAGTTAAGGATCGATTTGCCCTAATTAGTACTTAAAAGTATTGTGTTAAAGAAAAAGGAGAAGTGTATGTTGTCTAACACAAAAATGGTAGCACTTTTCTGGAATATGGATTCAGCATTGATTGATTACATATATATTTTATTCAGTTCTAGAGCTTGAGAGTTCTCTTAAATATAAATTCAGATTTTAATTGTTACCAAAGGATTATTTAAATATTGTTACAACCTATGGCTTTATATTAGACGCATTTATTTAAATACTCATAATTGGTTGCCTTGTGCCAAAGTGCATTGCAGCTTCCAGAGTAAAAAATAGGTTCACCTCACACCTTAGGCATCTTATATATTTTAAGCAGAATAGAGTTAGAATGAATTTTGGAATATCAAAAAAATGATTTTTCAAAATGAATTTCACTTCAGATAGGTATATTTCTCATGCTAGTTTTGCTCTACATTTGGTGTAATCAAGTGGAAAAAGAGTTATTTGAAAAATAAAGGGTTTTTATAAAGCAGTAAGAAAATTGACTTTCCTAAAGTTGTTCTTGAATTATCTGAATTATCTTAACAAAAAACAGTATCATTTCAAAACAAAGTATGGAATAAGGGGTCATGTGCAAGATCTTATAACTTGAGAGGTCCTTGAGTATATATTCTTGGATCTAGAGAAGCATAGTGACATCTGCCTTTGATTATAGTTACATGGATAAATTCAAACTTAAGAGCTGTATTTAAAACATTTCAACATACACAATGATATTATGTTCTTGGAATATGGCACATGGTGGTAATTTTTAATATAATTATACATGTCTAACTGGTTGTCTTTGAAATAAATTATTAAAAAGAAGACATTCATGGCAAAATCAGAATTTCTCATGGTTTAAGTCCTGTTTATCTTAAAAAATTCAAAATAAACTCTTTGAATAAAGATTTCTGTTGGCTTCACCACTGTTAAAATACCTTTATAGGAACTTTGGTTTAATTGCTAAAATGTTTAGTTTAACTGCTGACATTGTGCTCCCATATTGTCAAACATTAATGAGAACAAGAAAATATTCTTTTTTTTGAGGAGTTTGTTAAGAAAAAAAATATTAAGGGAATACTAACAGAAAAAAAAAGAAAGAATTAGCTATGAATCTGTTTTCATAGTAGTCCTGGATTCCTCATCTCCAGGAAGCAAATAGCCGTGTGCAGTCACAATCATTTTACTCTTTGTGTCATTTTGCTCCAATTCACAGATTGTTTTAAATTTTACCACAATGGACCTATACAAAAGCAGTTTGTGCTGGTATGACTACATTGAAGTGAGAGATGGGTACTGGAGGAAATCACCTCTCCTTGGTAAGACTCTTTACCGCCTGTGTGGGCATTCATCTAGTCTGTCCTTTTAAGTAGATTCTTTCGAGTCATCTTAGACTTAGAAACGTATGTGGCCCACATTTTAATTTTTATTATACTCTTTTCAACCACAGCAAAACACAGACAGATCAATAGAGAGATTGATTTTAAACTAGCTTAAGTTATGAGGAAATACTTGGATCTGAATGTAATGACTGAGAATAGCCTCCACATGTATTTTTAATTCGATAATCACCACTTTAATGAGAAACCCAGATAAATGATGCGGGAGCACTTGTATATGTTTTGTTTTGTTGGCTAAGGCAGTGGAATATGAGCCCCTAGGTCTGTGTTTGGTAGCTGGTTTCTCCTACCACCCATGTTAGCTCTCACTGTGGACGTCACGGTTGTGCTTCTCAGAGAGTTTTTGTGGATGAGGAGAGGCATTTGTACTTTGTGTCATAAATTGTAGCTCAGTTTTGGTGCTCACAAAGGTCTGCTGCCAACATGTAACCACAGACCACACCATTAACTTGCATGAGGCACTTTACTGTTGCCCTCTGTTTTACTTAAAGGTGAGAGCTGTTGTGAGCATGTAAGCATCTACACTAATACTGATTTTTCTTTGAAATGGCAACTTCTCCTTGGTTTTTGGAGGTAGCTTTGCTCAGTTGCGTTTATATGCCATACAGATCTTTTTTTCCTTAATATCCAAAACCCGCTGAATGGACACTGTTGTATTAAAAGTGTATTAAAAGTCTTAGGAAGTCCAAGACATCTAGAAATGTTTAAACATAAGAAAAAATAAAGAGTTGAACGAAGGTGGTAACTCAGGTTGAGGAAAACATTGTCTTGAGCATTGCGTTTCTTAGCCTAGGTGAAGCAATCTGTACTATAGGTACATGTGTTCCAAAGAAAACATTTCATTAAATTCACATTGAAGAGCCAAATCTAAAGCAAAATAGTGGAGCACACTTCTTTTTAGAACGCCGGCAGCATTACACGCTTCGGCGTATAGTGGGCCAACAGACTGGTTCAGTCTGGTCATCGTTTTCATGTGGAAAATTTTCCCCATTGTTTCCCCTGAGACCTGTGCCTTGAAGTGTACCTGTCAGACAGGCAGCATCAGGATCCTTGTTAGAGGGATAGAAATTCAGGAGCCCTTCCACACTTTCTGAATTAGAGATTGTATTTTAACAGACTCCCTGGCATTTCATAGGCATGTTACGGTTTGAGAAACATTGCTGTCTTTTACATGCTCTTAATTTACTTTGCCATTTGGAAGACACTTCTTCACCTGTTGACCATTAGTATGAATTTGTTTTAAGTTGACTACCGTTTTTCATATACTGAAACTATGTATGACATCACTTCCGGGGGAAATGGTTGGCAGTGTATTACTGTTGATAAAATTATTTCATGTGGATTGCCAGATTTAACCATTTTGTCATCCTATGGAAATTTAAAGCACAGTGGCAGACACACAGTTAGCCAACACATATTTATGGGAGGTTGAGGGAAGACAGAAGGAGTGACAGGTAGGTATATTCATTTGGTATTATACTTGCCTGTGGATACATAATTAGAGAACAATGAGAGCTCCCGTGCAAGTCTTCAGGTCCTGTTTGTCATCCTGCCCACTGCACAACGGATTATGACTTTGTACGTGAGATGGAATGTGGACCCTGGAGCAGCATGTGGGTCTCCCTGATGGGTCATCATTGAGCCCCAAAGGACAAAGAACTCTGCTTTGGGCTGAGACACATCCCTAACCAAGTTTCCTCTGCAAGGACTGGTCTGACAATTGGAGCCAGTTTCTCAGGACCTCCTGTACTTTTTTACCTTGATGTATCATGTGACCTTTTACAAATACGTCCTTAGCACTAACTGCTTCTTAATTCTGTAGACAGTAAGACTAACGTTAGTCCATTAATCTGGGAATGGTGTTTTCCAGTAATTTATAAATAGTATGAAGAGATTCTTTTATTCATCCACCTTTGTTAAGTAAATACTAAGCATTCTTATAGCTCTAATTACTCTGGATGGAGTATAGGAACCAAATTGGGTTTTATATATATATATATATATATATATATATATATATATATATGATGTGTAGCTAGTGTGGAAAGCAATTAGAATACAGAGTCATATTTAGGAGTCTCTCTTTATTCTTTTATTTCTTTTAGGTAGATTCTGTGGGGACAAGTTTCCTGAAGTTCTTACCTCTACAGACAGCAGAATGTGGATTGAGTTTCGTAGCAGCAGTAACTGGGTGGGAAAAGGCTTTGCAGCGGTCTATGAAGGCAAGTCCCATTAAGTTTTAGAGATGACTTCCCCTTACATCTTTTAGAAGAAATTTCCTTTCTCTCCATATCACTAGAATGATACTGTAACCACATTTTAATAATGAAGTTTTCTAAATCTGTGTTATAATATTTCCAAGACTGATTTTACAAAAAACACTCAGTAAAATTAAATTGCAAGAACCTCTTTCTTGGTACCAGTGACATAGTAACTTTAAATGTATGTAGGGATATGTGTGGGAGGGAATGACCCAAATTTCCATTGTTTCCATGATAGTATTAAAATGTCATGAAGAAATTTTGGTTTTTCCTTTGAATTAAATTTGTGTTTATTTAGTGCTTATGCTGCTGAAATTCTCTGTTACAGGAAACTGCACAGAAAGTAATTGTGCACATTTCTGGAGCATGCTTTGTCTAAGTGAGAGAGTCAGCATTCAAGGGAGAATTTACCAACTGCTTTGTTCTATACTTCTCTGAAACAACAAACCAGCATTGTGTGTCCTGGCTTTAAAAAATAGCCTTTTTTGTTTTGTCAGGTTGTGGGCAGAAGAGACCTGTCTTGCGCCTGCTTCTGCTACCACAGGGTTTAGGTAATTTAGAAGACAGGAGATTTCTGCTTCCCTTATAATTTAAGTAAACGGAAGCATTTTGCTGTAGAGATTAATTGGATGGCAGTGAAGGGGATTGTTTGGATGGAGCCACAGATGTTGAGCACATGATGCTAGCTCACTGCTAGAGGCGCAGAGAATCCTGTGGAGTGTCTCTCTTGATCAGCTGTTTTACCTAAGCCCCAAAGACTATAAGAACCAGTTCAGGGAAATCATACAGAATATGCTAGAATATTCTACCACATAGAACACATTTACAAAATCTGGAACAGTTTTTAAAAGTTAAATACTGTTTTTGGTAAAGATGTAAAGAAACCATGATAAAAAAATCATATATTCCAGTGCCATTATCTAATATTTATAGTTAGCTGGCTAGGTTTTTACCATCTAAATATTTACAGCAGTACAACCAGCCAACTTTGATTTTTTTATAATCCGGTCTTTATGCACTCAGCTACAGGCACTGAGCAAAAATGTTATCTCAGAAGAAAATGAAAATGAAATGTCAGGTCTAGGTTTATTTATTTGCTTATTTTCACCCTCAGCGATCTGTGGAGGTGAGATACGTAAAAATGAAGGGCAGATTCAGTCTCCTAATTATCCTGATGACTACAGACCGATGAAGGAATGTGTGTGGAAAATAACAGTGTCAGAAGACTACTATGTTGGATTGACCTTCCAGGCCTTTGAGGTAAAGTGTTTCAGGCACCCTTCACGGAACATACCCTCCATAAATGACAGTGCCATTTAAGGACATCCTCATTAAATAAGCAAAGAACCAGAGAATCAGCTTTTTAATCAGCTTTTTAATCAGTGAAGAAGCAAAGGAATGCCTATAAAATGTAACATCAATAGTGAAAGAGGTTTTTTTTTTTTCTTCTCCTTTCCTCTTGTCATAGACATTTTCAAGAAGATTAAAGTGAGTTTACATTATCTGTGCTATTTGAATTAGAATGTTTGAAGTACTGACAATAGCTTCCTTTGACAAATGCACAGGCTTGTTTCACAAGACTGCTTGAAGAGTCCATTAAATAATAGAACTTTTATTTCTCTTCTAAACTAAGAGGTTAAAAGGTAGACCATCATTTTTGGTGGTGGTGGTTGTTGTTATGGAGAAAATCCATTTTTCACCTTTTCATCATTACGTGGAAAACTATTTATATCAGAAATGGAGATTCAAGTGTTTTTAGTTTTTGATTTCATCAAAAATATATATCAGGGAGGAGATCAGCACCTATGTTACATTATTCGATGAAGGCACAATAAACCAAAGGTTAGGCAGAATTCTGGAGCAAATTCTGGGTCCTAAACTACCAAGCTGGCTAATGAGTCATTTTAGTGGGGCTGGGGGGCCTGAGTTAGGGATTGGAAGCCAAAAGATCAAGGACTTTATTGTGAACTCCATAGTATGTTTAAATCAAAGAATCAGTCTAAAATTTGAGAGCCCACCAGTGAAATGAGAAGGAATGATGAAATGAGGGTGGTAGGTCCAGACAGGGTTAAGATCCCGATGCCATAACTGGAGATGATTTCTTCTCTGGTTCGAAGGCTGATTCTCTGTCCCAGCAATGCAAAGGCAGTAGAGAACCCCTCCATGCCATGGTATGCTTGCCCCTGAGAGCAGTGAGTGTGCAGTTGTCTCTGTCCCTACAGCAGAAACATCAGCAGAGCCCAGGCATTACCCAGAAGCCCAGAGACTCTCACCTGCACATGCGAGCTGTGTAATGTATTTCTTTGGTACTTATCTTCACCCTTTTGCATGTGCCCTTTAATTTCTCAGATATATGGCCTTTTATTGTCTTCTCTTATATGGTCATGATGTTGTATTATATGCTCCCGATCATTTTGCAATTCAAACCTTGGTTTGTTCTTGAGATTATTTAATTCATATTTGGATTTTGTTATTTTACCGGATCAGTAATATTGCAAACATTATTCAAATAGACCACTTTATTGTTAACAGTGAACTAAAACAGGATAGGATTCATCTGCTATTTAGACCAAAATAACAGGTTCAGTAAAAAATGATCTATCTAATGAGATTATTACTTGTATTTTTTTGATGTTGTCCAAATGATTAAGAGATGAACTTCGAATATATAATTCAAAGTTTTATGGAATTCTCCTGTTGCAAAAGTGATGTCAATGAATGCCTTTAAAATGGAATTCCATGCATTTAAAAATTGAGATACAATTTCTGAGATGCAGAAGGCTTAGTTGGTTGGTAGTTTTTTCTTTAATGCCAATATGGTTACAGTGGTATTCCTCAAAAATAGGATAGTGAAAGGACATGTAGGAAAGATTTACATCTCAGGCACGTAGAACCATGCCTGACACAGAGTGGTTGCTTAATAAATATTTGTCGATTGAGCAAATGAATAAATTATTACCAAGATTTGGGATTGGGGAAAAGTCATGTCGTGTTTGGCATTGACATTACTTTTTATCTGTTATCTCTAGGTTCCTGTCCTTTTTTCATCTTGCTATATTTCCTTATGTTTTGTCTTGCTTTGTTTATATATTGGACATATTCAAATATCTGATAGGCCTCTTATCTTCAGATGACCAGACCAAATCTTTGATTGTCTTGTCCTACTCACTAACTCAGTCTTCCCGATTTTAGTATTTACTATTTTCGTATGTCACTATTTACTTAAGAACTAGCCCTGATTCCACTTTTTCTCTTAAACTCTGAGGCTGATCAGTTAACATATTTCATTTGCTTTGTCTTCAACAATGCCCCAAACATGACCACTTGATCCCAGCTTTATGGCCACTACTATGTTCCCACTGCTGCCCCTTCTCTTGGAACTTGGTGAAAATGTCACCTCTCTTCTCTTCCCCTCCATGTCCTGATCCACAGTAGCCAGAGTGACACTTTTACAATGTAAGTTAGATCATAACACGATGCTTAAATTCTTTTGGGTCCAGGGGATCACCTGTGTGGCTCAGTCAGTTAAGTGGCCAACTCTTGATTTTGGCTCAAATCTTGATCTCAGAGTTGTGAGATCGAGCCCCACATTAGGCTCTATGCTCAACAGGGAGTCTGCTTGAGATTCTCTCTATCCCTCTCTGCCTCCCTTTGCCCCTTCCCCTACTTATGTGCTCTTTCTCTCTAAAATAAATAAATAAATCTTTAAAAAAAATTCTTTCAGGGTTTTTCTATCACACCTAAAATAAAACGCAGACTTAGTGATCCTAGACCAAGACAACCTACAATTGGTCCCAAGCTGCCTCACACTCCCTCTGAGTCGATCTCTTTGGTCTTCTTTCTCTTCCATGGAAATACCAAGTTTACTCAATCTCATAGCATTTGTCATTGATGCTCTTCTACCTTTAAATCTATGCTTTTATTCCTCTCATTTCATTTGGATCTCTTACTCATTGCCTTCTCAGAAAGTCCTGCTTGGTAACTCTATTTAAAATATATTCTGACCTACAATTGTCTGTCTACATACCATTATTCTGTTTCATTTTAATTTCTTGCGCTTACTACTACTGGGATTTATGTTATTGATCTGTTCATTTACATGGTTACTGTCTCTCTCACTAAAATATGATCACCAAAGGGTAAGGATCTTAACCTATCTTGTTGATCACCATATTTCCAACACCACTACATGCGTGATTCATACATGATGATGGGGGGATGAAAGAATGGATGGATTATAGGTAAAGGAGTGTGAGAGTGCATGATGATTGGTGGGTAGAAAGCAATATATCCTTCCTTTATCAAATATACATAAATTTCTGTGCAGAAGGAGGCAAGCCTAGACAGCTAAGAAGAGTTTAGTTTATGCAGGAGCTGATAAGCCGTATGGCTCAATTTAGATAGATCCTCAATTCTAAGAAATTCAGGAGTGACAAGGAATTTAGAGATGCTCTAATATATCATCTAAATATTCTAGATAAGGGAAATGAACTTATGTCATTAACCTAGTATCATTTAAGCAAGTACTAAACCAGCATCAAAATCCAGGTATAATCAATATTCATTATTCACAGATTTCTGTATCTGCAAACTTGCATACTAACTAAAATTTATTTGTAACCCCCAAATCAATACTTATGGTGTTTTCTGGGTCGTTCATGGACATACACAGAGCTGCATAATATTTGAGTCATCTGACATGCTCATCCCCAGCTATGATGTGTTTTATGGAGAAAATGTATGGGTTAGATAAACATTGTTCAGACATGCATTATAATGCAGTTAGCTGTGAATTGTATTAATGAATTGGCAACATATATTAAGGTGTCTTTAAAGAGAAACACACATGAAACCAGGTTATGAATGATTGGTTGACAAAAGATTTGTGACCAGAAGCTCACCAGAACCCAATTCTGTATTTTCTCAGAAGGAATGAATCAGTATTTACTAATTCAGTGTTGTCAGCAACTTTATAGAATTTAACTACCCTGAATACTGAGAATCAATCATGTATATATTTTTAATTTGTTCTGGTGGTCATTAGGTGATTTGTTTCACCTAGTTGATTTGTATCTGTTTATATCAATTTATTTTTATTTACATAACATATTTTCAGTCTTTGGCTTTTACATTTTATTTTGAAGATGTATAAGTATAAAATTTCTCACCACTTCTTAGTGTTTTGTGGTTTTGTCTGATCAAACAGTTTTATTCATTGATATCAGTCTTTGCCTTTATTAAAAAACTCTTATTTTGGGGGCACCTGGGTAGCTCAGTGGGTTAAAGCCTCTGCCTTCGGCTCAGGTCATGATCTCAGGGTCCTGGGATCGAGTCCCGCATTGGGCTCTCTGTTCAGGGGTGAGCCTGCTTCCTCCTCTTTCTCTCTCTTCCTGCCTCTCTGCCTACTTGTGATCTCTGTCTGTCAAATAAATAAATAAATAAATCTAAAAAAAAAAACCCAAAACACTTATTTTTGTAACTTTTTATTTTTGTTTTATTTTCTATGTTACACTTTCCCCTTAGATAAAAGGGGCCTAAATACAAATATGTCCATCATTTTGTTGAAATCCACCATAAAGAACTTAATAGTTATCTATTATTTATACCTTTCGGTGAATTTATGTTGTGACTTTAGGTCTTCTATGCTACTTAGATTTTAATGTGAGTACAGAAAGAAAATCTGAACAAGGGTCTTTGCTAATGAATTTCAGGTATCTTTGAGAAGGAAAGGATACTGTTTGGAGGTCAATAGACTTCTGATATGTCTGTAGTTTTACCATTTGGGAACCTTGTTCTTCTCTAGTAGTTATGACACATTGCTTCTTAAGGCGGTACTGCAGTAGGTTTGAATGTGGATGTAGATCATATCAGAAATAATTTTGGAGTTATTTGTAAAGAAACTTCTATATTACTGTTTTGTGCGAGCACTTTCAGTGTGCAGAAATACAGAAGAGAAAAAGTTGGGGAGATTGGAAATGTTTATAGTAACAACTTCAAAGAAATGTCCACAAAGCGGAAAAGAAGTAAAATAAATCTGGAGCTTACTTATGTTTACACTGAAATCCCCACATACATTAATTTAAGTGGGATTAAGTTTGAGGTACTTGTCAGCCTTTCTATACACTCTGATTTGGTTGTACTTCCCTTAGAAAAATCACAAATGTTTAATAGTCTTACCCATTATTACTGCAAGCTGCACAATTGTAAACTATGTTCAAAAGTTCTTATCTTGATACTTTGAGGATTGCCTGACTACAAGT